GCTGCTTGGCCTGCTGTGTTCATCCAGCCCTGCACCTTGTTGTCTCGCCATTTTTTCTTTGTTAATTTTTCTTTTAAAGATGTGTCCACTTCAGTTCTTGAGTTTTCCGTCAATAAGGAACAATACTTTCCCCGTGTACTCTAGCCAGACACCTCGTGATTTTCAGTCCTGAACCCCTCCAGTGTATTTACATAATGAAGTCCTTTGTCCCTGGGACCGTTCTTTTCTACACCACGTCTAGAGTAACAATTCTGTGATTCTGTGCTTGGATAGTAGATGCAAAGCTGTTGATGAAAAATGCCTGATCTTTAATTCAGTCAGCTAAGTTTGCTTGTATTCAACAGGATTCATGGGGTCAGTCCAAAGGTACAGAAAATTATTCAGATGTTGCGACTCCGCCAACTCTACAGTGGCTCCTTCATCAAACTGAACAAGACATCATTGAAAATGCTGAAGATGGTGGAGCCCTACGTTGCCTGGGGGTAAGAATTATCAATCAACAGATTCAAGAAAGAAATTGATATGTTTCTGATGAAAAGCAGGATAAAGGGCTATGGGGAATAGGTAGGAGAGTGGCATTGAGACCTTGATAAGATCGGTCACAGTCATGTTAAATGGTGGAGCAGGCTCAAAGGGCTGAATTGCCTACCCCTGCTCCTAATTCCTGTATTCCACTGTCAATCTAACACTACGCTGATTGGTTTATATGAACTGTTGCTTTATATGTTATAGACTCCATAACAAAAGATCTCAGTTTATGAATGGTATATTTGGCTCAGTGTAAAATTGTCTTACAGAGTAGGAGGCAAATTGGAGTCGGAAAATCACTAATCCCAATCAGGACTGATGCAGGTGATGTGAATTGCGGTGTAAAGATATATTTCTGCTGTAACTTTTTATACTGCAATCTATTATTCATTGGGGAGGCACTGGTAATGTCATTGGGTTAGTAATTCTGACCCCTAGGCAGATGCACTGGGTACAAATCCTACTATGATAACGACATTGTAAATTCAGTTAGAAACTCTGGAATTGAACGTTAGTCCCAGCAATAGTGATTGTGGAATTCTGTCAATTGTCATTTAAAAAATTGGTTCACTAATGTCATGTAGGAAACGAAATCTTCCATTCTTACCCAGTCATGCATACATGTGACTCCAGCAATACAGTTGACTCTGCTACGAAGAGAGGTTGAGAAGATTAGGATTACTTACATTAGAAAGATGCAGGTTAAGGGGGGACCTGATTGAGGTCTACAAAATCATGAGAGGTATAGACAGGGTGGATAGCAAGAAGCTTTTCCCAGAGTGGGGGACTCAATTACTAGGAGTCACGATTTCAAGGTGAGAGGGGAAAAGTTTAAGGGAGATATGCGTGGAAAGTTCTTTACGCAGAGGGTAGTGGGTGCCTGGAACACGTTGCCAGCGGAGGTGGTAGAGGTGGGCACGATAGCATCATTTAAGATGTATCTAGACAGATACATGAATGAAGGAATTGAAACCATATGGTCCATCTGACATCAATCTACATGCAAGGGCAAATCAGGCCATGTTGACTCTACAAAGTCCTCCTTGTGAACATTTGGGAACTTATGTCAAAATTGGAAGAAGTGTTCCACAGACTACTTAAGCAACAGCTTGATATTTTCTCAAAGGCATGATTTTGTGAGTATGATTATGAGACATCACAATCCCCTCAGAGGAAGGAGCTGCCCTGGGAGTCTTCAGCACTGACTCTGGGCCCAGTGAAAATTCATGGCATCAGGTCAAATGTGAACAAGGTAACCTCCAGCTGATTACTATGTAGCCGTCCCTCAGTTAATGAATCAGTGCTCCTCCATATAGAACACCAGTTGGCAGAAGTACTGAGAGTGATAAGGGTGCAGAGTATACTCTGGATGGGGACTTTGACATCCATCACTAGATGGGGCCTGACAGATATTACTGCCATCCTAAATGGGATAAACTTTGAATCTTCCAGCTGAGGCTGCCATGCAGGCCCCGCCTTTTCAACCTTGTCCCTTGCCTGAGCATGGTGCCCCTCAGGTTAAGCTCACCACTACTTGTCTCTTTCTGAGTGAGCAGCCTTATGGTCCACTGGGACTAAAGCAACGTTAGACTTTCACCACATCAAAACTGTGCACCTACAAGGTGCTGTGGACTTCCTTCAGAGGATGCAAGTACAGAATTCAAGAAGATGGACTGTGAAATCCTTGAGTTGATTGATAGAAGAAGTGAGGAGGAATTGGCGGATGTGGTAGGTTTAAAAGTAGACATATCCCTAGGTCCAGATGAATTGTTTCCCAGGCTGTTGTGGGAGACAATGGAGCAGATAACAAGGCCCCCTATCCCCAAAGGAGATGCCAGAGGACTCGAGGACAGCTGATGTGATCCTACTTTACAAAAACAGTGGTAGAGATAGACAAGGGAACTATGGCATAGTGAATTTCTTACCAGTTGTAGGGAAACTATTGGAGAACATTCTGAAGGAAAAATATTAATCCCCATTTCGAGAGGCAAGTTTGGTCAGGGATAGTCAGCATGGCTTTGTCAGAATGGAGGTCATGCCGAAGTAGCCTGGGAGGGAGGTTTGCTCGAGCTATATGGGATGGTTTAAACTAGATTGGCAGGGGGTGGGGAACCGTATTTGTGTTTCAGTGGCTGAGGTATTCAGCCTTCCAACAGACACAACAGGGAGTGAGGTTGGTAATAAAGAAATGCAGTCAATGGAGCGTAATTGTGGACACAGGGACGGTTTGAAGTGTGTATACTTCAATGCTAGAAGTATCAGAAATGAGGCGGATGAACTTAGAGCATGGGTTAGTATTTGGAACTACAATGTTGTGGCCATTACAGAAACTTGGGTAACTCAGGACAGGAATGGTTGTTGGAAGTTCTGGGATTTAGATGCTTTAAAAGAAACAGGGAGGGTGGTAAAAGAAGTGGGGGAGTGGCATTGCTAGTCAGGGCGAGTATAGCAGCTACTGAAAGGCAGTTCGAGAATGAGATGTCTACGAGTCAGTTTGGGTTGAGGTCAGAAGCAAGAAAGGAGCAGTCACTTTGTTGGGGTTTTTTTTACAGACCCCCTAATTGCAGAGAAGTGGAGGAGCGGATTGGGAGGCAGATACTGGAAAGGTGCAGAAGTCACAGGGTTGTAGTCATGGGTGACTTCAACTTTCCAAATATTGATTGGAAACTTTTTAGTTGTAATAGTTTAGATGGAGCGGATTTTGTCCAGTGCATTCAGGAAGGATTCCTGACACAGTATGTAGATAGACCAACACGAGGAGAGGCCATGTTGAAGTTGGTGCTTGGCAATGAACCGGGCCAAGTGTTAGACCTGTTGGTAGGAGAGCATTTTGGTGGTAGCGATCATAACTCTGTTACTTTTACAATAGTCATGGAAAAGGATAGGTACATACAGCAGGGTAAGGTTTATAATTGGGGGAAGGGTAATTATAATTCTGTTAGGCAAGAACTGGGTAACATAAAATGGGAACAGATGCTGTCAGGGAGGAGCACTATTGAAATCTGGGGATTGTTTAAGGAATACATACTGCATGTGCTCGATATGTTTGTCCCTAGCAGATAGGGAAGATGCGGTCGAGTGAGGGAGCCTTGGTTCTTAAGAGAGGTCGAACGACTGGTTAAGAGGAAGAAGGATGTTTACATAAGGTTTAGGAAACAAGGATCGGAAAAGGCTGTACAAGATCGCCAGGAAGGAGCTGTAGAAAGGGCTTAGGAGAGCTATAAGGGGGCATGAGAAAACCTTGGCAGATAGGATCAAGGAAAACTCCAAGGCTTTTTACACGTACGTGACGAATAAGCGAATGACCAGAGAAAGGGTAGGGCCGATCAAGGATTGTGAGGGGAATTTGTGCACGGAGCCTAAAGAGATAGGAGAGGTCCTTAATGAATACTTTTCTTCGGTATTCACAACGGAGAGTTGTAGAGGAGGACAGTGTGAAACAGGCTGGTAGGCTAGAGGAAGTCGATGTTAGTAAGGAAGATGTGCTAGGAATTTTGAGGAAGTTGAAGATAGATAAGTCCCCTGGGCCTGATGGGATTTATCCAAGGATTCTATGGGAAGCAAGGGAAGAGATCGCAGGCCTTTGGCGATGATCTTTTCGTCCTCACTGTCCACGGGTATAGTGCCGGAAGATTGGAGAGTGGCAAACGTCATTCCCTTGTTCGAAAAAGGGAATAGGGATAATCCTGGAATTTACAGGCCAGTCAGTTTTACTTCAGTGGTGGGCAAATTATTGGAAAGGCTTCTGAGAGATAGGATTTTTGATCACTTGCGTAGGCACAGTTTGATTTGTGAGGGGTAGATCATACCTCACAAACCTTATTGAATTCTTTGAAGAGGTGACCAAACACATGAATGAAGGTAGAGCAGTGGATGTGGTATACATGGATTTAAGTAAGGCGTTTGATAAGGTTCCCCATGGTAGGCTCCTGCAGAAAGTAAGGAGGCATGGGATAAGGGAAATGTGGCTGATTGGATTTAGAATTGGCTGACCCTTAGAAGACAAAAGGTGGTAGTGGACGGAAAATATTCAATATGGTGCTCAGTTACGAGTTGTGTACCACAAGGATCTGTTCAGGGCCCTCTTCTGTTTGTAATTTTTGTAAATGATTTGGATGTAGGAGTGGTAGGGCGGATTAGTAAGTTCGCGGACCTCGTGAAGGTGGGTCGAGTTGTGGATAGTGCGGAGGGCAATTTTAGGTTACAAAGGGACATTGAAAGGATGCAGAGCTGGGCTGAGAAGTGGCAGATGGAGTTTAACCCTGAAAAGTGTGAGGTGATTCATTTTGGAAGGACAAACTTGAAAGCAGAATACAGGGTTAAGGGAAAGATTCTTGGCAGTGTGGAGGAGCAGAGGGATCTTGGGGTTCATGTCCACAGTTCCCTGAAAGCTGCCACCCAGGTGGATGGAGTTGTTAAGAAGGTGTATGGTGTGTTCGCTTTCATTAATAGAGGGATTGAGTTCAAGAACCGTGAAGTTATGCTCCAGCTATACAAAAGCCTGGTTCGGCCACATCTGGGGTGTTGTGTCCAGTTCTGGTCGCCTCATTACAGGAAAGATGTGGAAGCATTGGAAAAGGTGCAGAGGAGATTTGCCAGGATGTTGCCTGGAATGGAGGGAAGGTCTTATGAGGAAAGGTTGAGAGACCTATGGCTTTTCTCTTTAGAACGATGAAGGATGAGAGGTGACTTGATAGAGGTGTACAAAATGATCAGAGGTATAGATAGAGTGGACAGCCAGAGACTTTTTCCTAGGGTGTAGGTAGCTATTACAAGGGGGCATAGCTTTAAAGTGAGTGGAGGTAGATATAAGGGAGACGTCAGAGGTAGGTTCTTTACTCGGAGAGTGGTAGGGGCGTGGAATGCGTTGTCAGAGAGGGTAGTGGAGTTGGCCTCATTAGGGGCATTTAAGTGGCAACTAGATAGGCATATGGATGATAGTATAAGATAGGGG